CACTGTATAGCACAGGGAAATATGTACAAGATCTTATGATAGCTCACGGAGAAAAAAATGTGACAATGAATATACATGTTCATGTATAACTGAAAAATTGTGCTCTACACTGGAATTTGACACAACATTGTAAAATGATTATAAATCAATAAAAAATGTTAAAAAAAAACGCGGTGGTATATTTATACAGTGGAATACTACTTAGCCATAAAAAATGATAAAATAATGCCATTTGCGGCAACAGGGAATGGATGGACCTGGAGACTGTCATTCTAAGTGAAGTAGTCAGAAAGCAAAAGAAAAGCACCATATGATATCACTTATATGTGGAACCAAAAAAAAAAAAAAGACAAACTTATTTAAAAAACAGAAACAGACTTACAGCATAGAAAACAAACTTATGGTTACCAGGGGGGAAGGGAGTGGGAAGGGAAAAACTGGGAGTTTGAGATTCATGGATACTAATCTATATAAAGTAGACAACAACTAGTTTACACTGTACAGCATAGGAAACTGTATTTAATATCGTGTAGTAATTTATGGTAAACAAATGAAAATGAATATACATATGTTCCTATATGACTGGAGCATTCTGTTGTACACCAGAAATGGACACAACATGGTAAACTGACTATAGTTCAATAAAAATACTTTTAAAACTCATAGGGCTATTGAATATTTTTGTTACATTAAAATTTCTGAAAAGAATACACTTCAAGGAAAAAACAAAGTTGCTGTAAGTTAACAAACCAGAAAGCACAGAGCACAGATGACACTTCACTGTTTAACAGACTAGCACCAACCCAATGCTGAGACACCACTGCTCCCAGACATCACCACCAGGAAGGGCGCACGCACAGGACAGCGCACCGCATGGGGACTGGACCTGAACGTGCACAGCTTGAAGCAGGATCCTAACAAGCTTTCCGGGAGCCAGTCTCACTATGACTTCTAGTAAATAAAAGTTTCTTGCTTTTTAAAACACTGCTTTACTGAGATAATTCACAGATTCCCCCATTTTAGGCACTTCCTTCTTTGATGCAATAAAGTAACTATTTCAGGTTGCATCCTGTCAACCTGCTGTGTTCGGTCCAAGAGGTCCTGACAGGACTCAGATCTTGAAGACGCTGGTGGCCAGGGCTGCTCCAGGCTGGTCAAGAAACCTGCCCTGAGGGCCTTGGGCTTCACCAACGATGCGTTCCCATCAAGGACGCCATGAGAAAGCAGCTGTTTAACCAGAGTGTGAAAGAGCCCAGGAAAAAGGAGGACACCCCTGGTGCCCGATGTTTACTCACAGTTGTATTTTCATATCCAGTACACCCCAGCACGTGGGGCCAGAATGGCATCCCCATCACCTCCATGTCCTGGTCCTGTCAGGGCCCTGA